GCTATAGATGATGGATAGACGATAAATGGATGGATGGATAGATGATGAATGGATGGATAGATGATAAATGGATGGATGGATGGATAGATAGATAATAGATAGATAGATAGATAGATAGATAGATAGATAGATAGATAGATAGATAGATAGATAGATAGATAGATAGATAGATAGATAGATAGATGATGATGGATGGATAGATAGATAGATAGATGATGGATGGATGGATAGATGGATGGAGCTATAGATGATGGATAGACGATAAATGAATGGATGAATGGAAGATAAATGGATGGATGGATTGATGGAAGATAAATGGACGGATGATAAATTGATGGATGGGTGGATGGATGGATGGAGCTATAGATCATGGATAGATGATAAATGAATGGATGAATGGAAGATAAATGGATGGATGGATGATAAATGATAGATGGATGGATGGATAGACAGATAGATGATAAATGGATGGAGATGGATGGAGCTATAGATGATGGATAGACAATAAATGGATGGATGAATGGATGGATGGATGATGGATAGAGGATAGATAGATGATGGATGAATGGATAGATGGATGGAGCTATAGATGATGGATAGACGATAAATGGATGGATGGAAGATAAATGGATGAATGGATGGAATAATAGATGATGGATGGATAATCGATAAATTGAATGATGCATAAATTGATTGAATGATTTATGACATATCATATTGCATAGACAGATAGATAGATAGATAGATAGATAGATAGATAGATAGATAGATAGATAGATAGACAGATAGACAGATGATAGATAATATTGCATAAAATTGATTAAATATATAATAGTGATGTAAATCTCTACACAATGACATGTCATTAAAGGTGACGTACCAACATACGTGAATTGCACTTCATTTTCTCTTACAGATGAAATCTTGTGTTTACGCGTCAGAACATCTGTACACGAAATAACGCGTGCAGACACGTTATATCGCCTGTACACGCTGTGTGTAAAGATATATGTAATATTATGGTCTTCCATGCGTTTGGCACGTGTCACGTGTTAAGTGCTCTAGTTAGTGTGTGTTACAGTCAGCAGCAGGTGCTTTGAGCTCTTCTCGCTCACATTGTTCTGAGTTGAGCTGAGATGCTTTAATCAGAGCGCTGCTTTAGGCGAGTGTTTAACACGACAGCTCACAGCCTTCTCTGCTTAAATCCATTCCATACGGCTCTCATTTCATTCACCAGACATCTGTGAGTAAAACAAGCGAGTGTCATCCATCATTCTGTCATACCTTTACAGTCTAATGTTGTTGTCCTAAAGCAGGGCTTTTCAATCTTTTAGACCCAATTTATCAGTATTATAAATATATCTCAATATAATTAAATAAAAAACTGTATTGAATTTATTTTAAGTGAATTCTATTTTTTCTACTCATAGCACTGTACTGGGTTTTTTTTTACGCATTTTTTTTTTACTTAAATTTTTCTCATTTTAATCAAGAAGTAGGGATTTTTGATCTTTTAGACCCAATTTACTCTGGGAAATATTATAATTATAAATATATCTACATTTTTCTCCTAAATTTTAATTTAATTGATAAGTTAATTAAATTTTTCCTACTCATTACAGCACTACTGTTATTTATTTGTTTGTTTGAATACATACAATTTATATTTTTATTTATTTAACTGTTTTTATTTATTTTTATACAATTTAAAACTACTTATTAATTCATTGTTAATAATGAATAATTTCATTATTTTTACTGTTTTTCCTCTACAAAATTCCACTGAAATGTCCTAAAGTGCACAATGCTTTCGCTATATGAAGAAAAAAGTTAAAAAAAAATAATAAAAATAATAATAATATTATATATTATATATACTGTATATATTAAAGTATTAAGTATTTAATTCACTGGATTATATAAAGATAGACATTACCACACAATTTTATTCAATATTTAAACCAATTTTCTGGTTGAATTTCAGGAAAGATAGCTATAATATATTATAAAATATATATCCAAACAAACTTTTTTCCATATTCAAAATGCATTAAAATGTATAGTCATATAAACATAATATTAAGAGCATCCGTATCACTAAAATTGCAAAAGAAAACCAAAACCACGAGAGACGAGACATTTTTGGATTGGGCAACGTTTGGGTAAATCAGCAAGCTGACGTTCTTATCAGCGTTTCATAAGGCGCAAAACATCTACAGATGCCACATTCCGGAGATAAACGGGCTGTAAAGTGGAAATAATGCAGTCTTGGGTTGTTTAAAGAGCCATTATTACTTAGAACAGTTCAGCCGTAACACACCCCACACTCACACCGGCCAAAGAGCAGAAGATTGCACCAACACCGATTATATTCTCAGCTAATCGAGCGCTGAATCTGAAGGTTAGAGGCTGTTTCTGAGCGTGTGAATCGCCACAGGACTCCATTCATGTCTCTGCTAATGAAACCGCACACATACGAGCTGCTGTGGTTTGAGTCCCTTCCAAAGTTGTTTCATATCAAAGGCCCTTGACAAGCGACACGGCACGACTTCTTTCCAATGTTTGTCTTTCCTTTGGATCAGAACGCGCGTCCCTCGAGCCGAACGGAGGGAACTAATGGCTTAATTTAAAACGCAGTAATTTTTACGACGTCAGGCGCGCTCGCAGGACTCTCTGACACACCTTTGGCTTCATACGTCCACACATAAATAATTCCACACGCAGCAGATGCTTTCCCGAACAGAGCCGGGCTTTCAGCTCGCAGACGCTGGATTTACAGCCGGGTGTTTCCCTCTGTCCGTTACCCAATCACCGAAACATAAATACTCTCCAACAGGACAATAAAAACTCCAGAAAGCTTCGATGACCTGCACTGACACACTGTTATTTGGGACATAAACTTACTAAGTTTCAAAAAGCGGCTTGGATAAATAAAAGAGACCAAGTATTCTTTACTAATCTAACAAACTGATTCATTACTAATTATTTGAGCGGCATGAAAACAAACCTGATGATGAACACATTGTCCAGAGCTTCTTGTTTCTCTAAATGGCCAGATATCACTAATTAGTCGCCTGAAAATAATAGGTCAGAACTTACTTTGTTGTTTATTCCCCGGTTCAAATAAAATAATTCTGTATTTTCAGTATATATAGAATGATGGAACAATAGCGTGGATGGATGGATGGATGGATGGATGGATGGATGGATGGAACGATGGATGGAACGATGGAACGATTGATGGAACGATGGAATGATGGAACAATAGCGTGGATGGATGGATGGATGGATGGACAGAATGATAGATAGAAGAATCAATAGATAGAGTGATAGAATGATAGATAGAATGATGGATGGATGGAACCATAAATGGATAGATGAGGAGAGAGATGGATAGATATATGATGGATATACAGAACGACAGATGGATAGATAGATGGATGATAGAGAGATAGATGGACAGAATGAGAGACAGAAAGATCAATAGATAGATAGATAGACACTAATTAATCACCTAAAAATAATTATTTTTAATAATTTTCTTTCTTTTACATTTTTCTAATTCCTAAACAGCATTTATTCCCAGGTTTTTTCTTTAATGTTCCTGTGTTTTCAGACAGTGTGGTTCCTGCTGTAGCTTCGGATCACTCACTCCTCCGCTCTACTCTGAGTGATGGTTTATCTGAGGGCCTGCAGAGGAACTGAGGGCAGCAGCTCGGCGTGTGAGGCTGGCATTTGGTCAGCAGGAGAGTTCAGAGGGGGGCTGCATGTTTTTGCAGCTGACCAGACCTCCCATTTTCACATGAAAGACCTGCGAACACACACACACACACACGGCCTCCGGACACTCTTTATGGAGCACCAACAACAATCGCTTTCTATTCCTGGAGCTTCCAGCCAGTTCAACCAGCCCTTTATCAAGCTCAGCCTGTCACGGCACTTCCTGCGCAGACAAAAGACTTCGCCAGCTTTCTCCATACGTCCCTTTTGATGTTAAGAAAGATGTCCCCCTCAAATCATTAACGGCTAGCTGCCAAATGGCAACATCATAAACCGTCACAAGTGCATTTATCTTCACATGCATGTCAGCTTGTTTGGGTTGCATGGCAAGTTTCACGCTTTAGATGCATGCATTAACCTTGAACACACTCGTGTGCATTCAGATGCAAGCACTGAGGAAGCATTAGAAGGAGAAGAGCCTCTCGCTGAGCTCTGAGGAAACTAATACGGTGTAGACGCAGGACTTCTGACAAAACAAGAGCATAAGAGCAACACAAACCCCTCACTTTCTAACAATGAATCATGTGTTTTACTGCATGCTCTCATACAAGCTGGAGATTAAGGATCAGCCAAACGGCAATAAAGTCCCCAAATAATGCCCTTTAAACAAACATTAAACCAGTTTCAATGTCTAACAAGGTACAACCAATAAACGCAAAAATGCAGTTTGTTTGCTACTATTCAAGAAGACTATATCATATTTGTTATGAGAGAAGTTGAAGACACTAACAAACAAATGACTTTGTGCAATAATTTATAGACTTGATCAAAAGTATACATCATGTACAGCCCAAAAATTATTTTTTTTGGCATTTTCATGACAATCAAGCACTTTCTACTAAATAAAAAAAAATTAAAAATTCAAATTACATTAATAAGAATATCAAAAGGTTCTTAAGTTTATTAAAATATGGTTTTGAGAACGGTTCCCTGAAAGGTTCTTGGGGGAACCAAAACTGGTTCTTCTATGGCATCACTGTGAAACCACCTTTTGGAAGCTTTATTTATAAGAATGCATGCTATATATATATATATATCGGTCATTCAAAAGCACTTATCGGTTGACCTTTCTAGCAATAATCCTAATAATAGCCTATTAATAGCAAAACATATGGATCTAAATGTCAAGATTGTGCATGCAAAGTCCAGGTTTTAGAATGTTGCATTGAAGCTGATGTTGATGAAGCGCTAGTCTGGGATAATGGCATATTCTGACATACCTGGAAATGTTTGAAAGCGGCAGAAATGCGCGTGATGTGCAGGCTGAGGCATCGCGACGCGCACCTCGAGCGGTAAACGCTCGCGCTGAAGAACTCGTCGCCGGGTTTCCTCGCGTCAGCGCCCGCGGCGCTCCACAGCAGCCCTGTAATCCACACGAACGCGAGCATCGCGGAGCTGGTCGTCTGCAGCTGCAGCGAGAGTGAGTGTGACTGAAGGAGGACTGAAGGAGGACTGAAGAAAGTTTCGAGCTGCGGAGGGGCGAAGTCAACGCGCGTCATTGCAGGAGCTCTGCGCGTAGCCCCGCCCCTCCAGACGCAGGTAGAGAAACTTCAGATGCGATGATGGACGAAGTTCTGCTTCTTCATGCAATGGTCACTTTTGTTTCCATTAAATGTCTTCTTTAAGACTTGAAGGAAACAACTAAATTACACATTTAATTGTTTATTGCATTGCACTTTATCTGTTATTGCTCTTGCACACACCAAACTTTACAGTCTTATTCCTATCTATATTCTATATATATGACCCTGCAGCACAAAAGCAGTGTCAAGTCGCTGGGGTATATTTGTAGCAATAGCCAACAATACATTGCATGGGTCAAAATTATAGATTTCTCTTTTATGCCAAAAATCATTAGGATATTAAGTAAAGATCATGTTCCATGAAGATATTTTGTAAGTTTCCTACCGTAAATATATCAAAACTTAATGTTTGATTAGTAATATGCATTGCTAAGAACTTCATCTGAACAACTTTAAAGATGATTTTCTCAATATTTAGATTTTTTTGCACCCTCAGATTCCAGATTTTCAAATATTGTCTGATCCTAACAAACCATACATCAATGGAAAGCTCATTTATTCAGTTTTCAGATTAGGTTTTGACCCTTAATTGACCCTTATGACTGGTTTTGTGGTTCAGGGTCACACACACACACACACATATACACTGTATATATGATATATTTTTAACATTTTATTCCTAAAAACATGGTGAAAATGTGATCTTTTCTGATTTATGGAGTGATAAAAAGAGAAATCCAAAATCCCCTCTGGAAAACCTTCAACTAATATTTCAAGAAAATCAAACGAGCATTATTAGCCTGGCTTTATACAATTATCGGATTTATGTATTTATATATCGAAATGTATGCAAATTAGTACATATTTAATTAGATGTTGCCTTATTTGCATATTTCACCATAACATTTTAGAAAACTAAAGTGTGGTGTGTGTTAGAGCTGCTGAAGTGGAGACTTAAAGATATGTATTGCAATAGATCAAGTGCAATAAAATAAAAACTTAAATATGTATTTCGCATGTCTTCTTTCCACTAGTCTGACCGGTGCATTAAAACACAATAGCTTGTAGTGATTCTAGTGGAAACTTCCCATGTGAGCTTCAAACCGTTTTACAAGCATTGCAGACATGTCTAGCATTATTTCTCCTCGCCAGCCACGAGTAGAGTAGCGTGGAAAGAATGACTCCAGCGCTTATTAAAACAACAGCAATGCTCCCGAATCTCGCCGGATAGAAATCGCCACGCTGAAAACTTCCCAGAAGGCTTCATAAAACATCATGACTTCACTCTCTCGAAGAAGTAGCAGCGCTTGGTTTGCGTCTAATGAGTTTTTATGGGTATTCCTCCTGAACAGTGCAGGACAGAAACTGGGGCTCGTAATCGGTAGGTTTGGCCTGCGACCGCTGCGCCGCGGGCCAGCCAAATACTTCAGCGCGTACTTCTCTAATGAAAGCAGTCAGGATTGCGGAGAACGATCTGTGTTTTCTAGGCTGCATTGGCCACACACACGCTTAACGTGATTTAATGCATTAAAACAGTGTTTTTAAAAGACCACACTTAATAAACACATTATTAATAAAGCATATATGTACAGACAAGCAGATGAATGCAATGCGTTTAATTACGCATTAAGTGTTTTCCTCCATAAGGAAAATGCTTAACGTGGCTTAATGCATTAAAACTGTTTTTAAATGTCCAGACTCAATAAACAATATTAATAAATCATACTATGCACAGACAAGCCGATATGAGCCATAATACGAACGCAACGCATTTAATTACGCATTAAGTGTTTCCTCCCATAGAAACCGTTATTAGGAAAGCGCTTAACATTATTTATTAATAATGTCTATTGGGTTGTTTTAATGCACTTTTTAATGCATTAAGCCACGTTAAGCAGGAAAACGCTTAAAGGGATAGTTCACCCAAAAATGAAAATTTGATGTTTATCGTTTCTTCAGTAGAACACAAACAAAGATTTTTAACTCAGACCGTTGCAGTCTGTCAGTCATATAATGGAAGTGGATGGGAATCACGGCTTTGAGAGTCAAAAAAACACACACAAACAAAACCAAATTAAACCCTGCTGCTCGTGATGATACATTGATGTGTAACGACACGAAACGATCGGTCTGTGCAAGAAACTGAAGAGTATTTATATAATTTTTTACCTCTTATACACCACAATGTCCAACATCCGGCGCGTGACGCGTGTACGTGCTCTGGCATAATAGACATAGATATGTATAAGTAGATTCCCGCGGCCCATAGAAACAGTCACTAATGAGTAGTGATGTTCGCTTCTTGAACACATCGTTCTTTTGAGCCAGTTCTCAGGAAGTATCCGGTCGAGCCGATTCACAAATCGAACTGAATCGAACTTTAGTTCCGGGTTGATGACGCAGGGCCGAATTAGCACGTCCAACTCAAAAAGAACCGAATGAGCCGGTTCAACCAACTGGCGAAGTTTGCCGAGGATTACCGAAGATTTTGATGAGTGAGTTGACGATACAGTGCAAGCCTGAGGTGCATACTGGAAATATGCTTATTATGACTGTTATTAATTTACATTTTATTAAAACCTGCAAAAACCTTTTTGTCAAGTGATGTAAATAAATTTTACAATAGTTTATTGTGCATGCACATTATATTTAAAGTTGCTTAAGCGAAATCAAGGAGTTTATAAGACTGGTTTATTAATTCTTTATACTGTAGACGTGTAGAACATATCCGTGTTTGCGCATCAATGTCTGTAATGTGTGCTGTAGGTGTGAAACTTTTAGGAATCTTATCCGAGTTGTAGGCTAGTCAATATTGCTCAGTCAGTCATATCTGACATAAAGGATCCGCGAATGAAACTGACCACAAACATCATTAACTGAAGTGAATTATATGGCAATAATCCACAATATGCTTTCACACAAATAACTTTGCTTTTTTGAATGTTTCAATATGCGTTGACACAAATGACTTATTAGAATTTTTCATTGATACAACATGGCACTGAGTTGTTAGAAAAGAAATGCGTAGAGACGTTATTGCTTGA